TCAACATTTACACGAAACGTGTAATGGAGAAGGATTTCATGGAAGTATGCTTGCAATGGTCGCTAATGAAGCTTATCGAAAAGGTCAAAAGATAATTCTCATTGAAGCATTAAAGGAAATTTTAACTAAACATAGAAATGGTGACGATATGGCTCACGTTGATATATTTATTTTACTTAGGTATTAATAAATATTATATTTTGTATTATAATAATGATGATGATATTTTAAAAGTTATTATTTAAAAGTTATTTTAAAAATTATTCTCTATCTAGATGTTTAATACGAATGACTAATAGTTCGCTTTCTAAAAATGAATCAACAGAAAGGTTTGTAACTAAAATTTTATTATTTTGAATTTACGTGCGTAATAATTATTAAATTTATCATTTTAGAACCTCGCTTATGGATTGTATATGTGGATATTTTGAACTTGGTAAATTCGTATTTTTTCACAAATTAATTGTTTAAAATTATATATGATATTAAAAATTAGTATTATTTAAAAATTTTAGCATCGAATTTAATCGAATCATATGGTGAAAATACCATTGTTCATTATGAAAACGAAGGTCACGTAAAGAAAAATAATAAAATATCTTTGAAAGATCTTGAATGGTTTTTCAAGATGGGTGAGTGAACTTTATTCATATAAGAGATAATACTTTTTAATTTATAAATTATATATCGATCAAAATATTTTTGTTTAAATTAAATTTAAAAAAATAAGCATGGAATATAGCTCTAGAATTTTGTCAACATGAAGAAGGAGGTAGTGACTTATTAGCTATTCGATTATTTGATGTTGCTTACAAGGTATAGAAAGATCAATTATAGAACGATTATTCAAATTTATTTGTAATGAAAAAAATTTTTCTAAAATTTTCTTAATCGTGTTGCGTGGTGTTTTTTTTTTCTTTTTCTTAACGGGCGGTGCGTGTATTCGTCATATACGCACACACGCATATATATACATATATACACAGTTTCTTGGTAATTATCCTGAAGAAACAATAGAAAATATTAATAGAAAAAAGTTATGCCTTTTTGCTTCTTTATGTGGAAAATTATTCCTTTCTCGGGAACAAGAATCAATACTTCAAAAGGTATCATCATCTATCACCATCTATCTTCTTTTATCTTCTATCATAAAAAAAATGTTGTCAATAAAAATTCACCAAAGT